AAAACACCAAGTAGGAACAGGCAAAAATCTAAGCATTAAAGTTTAGAGGCTTACTATCACAGATGTCAGATGTTTCTAAAATATATATGCACAGAAAAATCTGTTTCCCTGGCTCTTTCTTTCCTTTTTTTTTTTTTTTTTGATGGGGGCTGGTGTTTTTGCCTCCTATCTTTTTCACTCTGTTATCAGTTTTCCCAATTTATACAAGGGTTTGACATAAGCCGAGACGGACCCATTGAAAAGTTGCCCTTTTGAGGGCTGGAACATTCTTGGAAAATGCCTAATTGTGAATGGTGTTCTTTGGAAGGTTCTCGTAGCACACTCATACGCAACACTCAGAGGCAACGTGTTTGCCCTTGAGAAGAACACTTCAATCGTAATGACCCTAACGCCTTTTTGTTCTGCACACTCATCTCAGTTTGAGGCTTCCAACTTTCAAAATGGTGTTGTTGTGTAAACCAGTTAAGTGCGTACTGTCATTTGAATGGAAAATAAAGTCTCCACCGAGATGGAACTGGAATATGGCAGCAGGAGAAATCTGTGACATCTGTCCACCGGCCGAGACTCGCTTGGTGCAGAAGATCCTCGCTGGGATGCACGGCTGGGGGACGAGCAGAAGTGACACAGCCGATGGGCGGCGCATGGGCACAACGGCTTCTGGGTCGCTCCTGCTGCACTGCATGATGGGTGAGTGGCGATGGTGGCGGCACCCATGGCAGACAGCAGGAGGGCACCGCGTCATGCTCTTGTGAACACAGGCCGGTGGCTGGTGACTCATCCCAGGAAACCAAAGGCATTATGGTGATCTCAAAATATTTTTGGTCTCTCTACAAATTATTGTGAGGATGGCAGCACTTTTCTAAGCTGGAATCTCAAACCAAAGGCACTTTCATGCTGAGTGCAGAAGATTCACAAATAGCTAAGTATTTGGTCATGGATTTAAAAGGCAACAATAAAAGTATAATTTGCTTTTCATAGTAAACTAAAGTTGCAACCTTTTGTTTTGGTATATATACATTTGAGAGGGTGGGCAAAGAAGTGACTTGAGTTTCAGATTTTAGATCAAGTCATCAGTTTCCTTATGAACAGGAGAAAAAAATGGGCTTGAAAATCAAAGGCAAAGACAATTTTTGCTTGTTTCGTTTCCAATATTGGCCAATTAGGAAATGAACACCAAGACCAAGTGTAAGAAAAGGCTGGCGGTTCGACTAAGGTATTACTAAGGCACTGCTTACTGGAACGCTTTGGCAGCTCTAAATTGAAAACTTCCTAAAAAAAAAAAAAGTAACAGTAGTAAGAGAAACGCTTCCAGCTTACAAAAGGGCTCACAGTTCCGAGGCAGCCTTTTGCACTGTAGACCCTACACGCAACATCTCGGAGGTTTAAGGCTTTTCAGAAATGACCTGTGCAGGGTTTTGCCACAGAAACATCAACATAAAGAAATCAGCAATGCAGACACATCCTCCTGAAGTCACAGGTATGAACACCAACAAACAGAATTCATTCTACCCTTTGTTAGGACAGGTGTAGTGTACCAGAGCATATACAAAATTATACAAATTACAGGTACCTGGCTTGTAAAACTGACGGTCATATGTGGTTTAAATAATTTACGGTTGTACAAAAACAACGGCTACAGCCACCACAGTATTAAAACCTAATGAAAACTTGGGCTCAAAAGTCACTGGAGGACTTTCAAAACCCCAAGTGCTTAGAACTGGGGCAGTTTTTGGCTGGTGCAGGATTTGCTGCTGGGAAGATTAGCAAAGAGGAACTAGATTCAGCACCTGTGGCAGGTGAACTTGTCCCCGGAGGAATGAAAAGGCTCACCAGCTTTCCCACCTGCTGTGGAGGACTCAGAGCTGGGGCCCAACAGGATGTCCCCACAGGTGGAGCAACGCTGGGGGGGTTGCTGTGCTTTGTGACATGGGCATTCTGAATCTCCCCCTTTCTCAATGGACTGTCCACACATGGTCAGGGGTCGTATAAGCACAGAGCCCTGAAGAACAACCTCCACCTGAAGAGGCCAGAGATGAAGGTGGCCGGAGCAAAAGTCCTTACCTTTGTTCTGCATCACTTGCCAGCTGGGGGACCTAGATGACCTTGGGCAACTCCTGTCTATTCCAGACCTCACCTTCCTTACTTACAGAACGAAGGCCACAGATTGTGCTCTTTTTCAGGGCAAAGAAGGAGGATTCTGGAAGTCCAGTTCTGGAATGAATCCCTTCCTCCCTCATCTCCGGGTGTAAATAAAAGTTTCAGAAGTTTTGATATAGTCTACCAACAGCCAGGACCATGTGGCAGCAAGGTAAAGCAGCCTATAAGATATTCATGAAGATTCAAGGTTTGATGATGACAGCCGTGAGCTTGTGAGAAAGAGGAATGAGTGTCAGAGTCCTTTGTCAACTCCAGGAAGCTAAGGACTGAGAATCAAATTAGAAACGTATAGGTGTGACCAGACTTTCCAGCTTCCCTAGGGATGAGAGAGAGAACACACACAGCAGAGAGGGGTGGCCAGGAAACACCAGAATTGAATTGGCCAGACACAGACACAGTGTCGTACCCCTATGTGTCCCTTGATGACCTGAACAAGGTTCCCAGTCAACAGCAGCTTGGTCAAGGTGAAATGGAAGAAGCCACTGCCACTGGGCCCTGGGAGACCCAGGTGGTGGGTCTGCATTGCAGGATGGGGAAGCTTTTAGAGGTACTCAGAGATGTTTTGTGTTATAACAAGTGGGAGAAGAGGGGCACCGGGTGGAGTTGAGGATGCCACAGTGCCAACGGTACCAAGCTTGAGAGGATTCTGGGACTCTAGGACATGACTCCAGAAGTCCTGCTTTTATTCTAGATCTCTCACCAGGATGGAGACGGGTCAATGTGCCAGAGCCTTGATCTTTAGCTCATCCCAGTGGAACATGGGCCTCCTTGCTCAGAAGTGAAAGCATAAAGTAGCCCTGGTCCTAGTCAGGTATCGGGAACCCCAGGAGGACAGGAGTGAGGACCAGGGTCTGGGAAGGAGACCTGATGGTGAAGCTGGGTTTGTAAGAAAAGGGGAGGAAGCTGCTCCTGGAAAGAAGGCCCAGTGGGAGACTGTGCTGGAGGCCACCATACAGATTCCCCAGAGTAATGAAAGCTGAGGCAAAGAGCACAAGAGTTTGGGGAAACTGGATCAGTGGTGAAGACAGGCAAAATCCATTTCCTGGAGAACACAGGTGAAGAACAAGAGAAGCCTACTTCAACAAAACAAAACAAACAACAACAACAAAACCATAAACTTACAGATGCTTTGAGAAGGAAAGGATGCAGACCAGGTTGTGGAGGTCTTCCTGGGTCACAGTTCTAGAAGCCCCCGGTCAGCCCAGAGTAGCCTATTCCTTGGTTGGAACAGGAAGCAGTTCACTATTCCCTTGGAGCTGACCACATGACACGATTTATGTACTCACCTAACCCAGGTCCTAGAAGAGTGGAGCGCAGGAGATGTCCCTGAATAGGGTGTTCAAGAGAAGCCACTCAGGGTGGTGAGTGACAAGGAAGCCTAACAGCCTACACAACAGACCTGATGAACAAAACAGCACTGGCCTATGCACCTGCAGAAGGGATGTGCATCCCACAGGGGAAGGCTTGGCACTTCCCCCTCCTAGTTAGGTGTTGCCTTTTCCCTGCTGGCCAGCCACACCCACCAGGCTTCTGATCAGAGAATCTGAGCAATGCACAAGCAGTGAGCAGCAGGGCAGATGGTGAGAGAGAAAGGGCGTTGCGTGTGCACACGCACATACTACTTGGATGTTTTCTACCTTAGGTGAAAAAATTCTGGACATATTTTACAACTTAAGAACTTATTTCCTGTCCCACTGTGTTAACATAGACCTCATGGTTATAAGTGCATTATTTTCTTCTGCGAAGTTTGGGGATGGCAGGTGACAGAAGTGAGCAAGGTTCCCCTGTTGCCTCCCCAAAGAAGCACAAGACATGTGGCCACATCAAACCAGCTGTCTGGCTAATGCTTTGGAATATCTGGATTAGAAAGTTCGGATGAGAACTTTCTGATAAGCCTCCTTGACAAGGTCAGATATAGGCCAGGGCCTGTTAAACCTAAGTCCAGTGGGTCCTCCCAAGATGGACAGAGACGCGTCATGGAAATGGACGTCCTTAGAGAGAATGCAGCTAAGTCTGCAGACAGACACACACTGAGATGCACACCTACCAGCACCTAGCAAAGCAAGGACCAAATGGGCCTTGAGTGAGTGTTCCAACTGTACCCACAGCTGCACACACAGTGGCGGTTATGGCAGGCCAACCTGCACACTGGGCCACCACCAGTGCTTGCAGTTTTCTGGGGATCAGAGATGCTAAAACTGATGAGCCTTTTCCTAGTCAGGCTGACAACGTTGTTCTCCCAGCCACAGGATTCTCTGTCCTTTGCAGCTCACAGTGCAGTAATTCAGGCCAATTTTTAAATTTTGTGGCTAAATTTTTCAGTGGTTCAAATATTTACTCATCTTCATAAAAAATTTGGTTGTCCATATAAAATATAACTGCACACACAAGACTATATAAACATTGTAAGTTTAGATTTTTTTTTTCAGTATTTATCTACTTATTGCAAAAAGCCATCTTTTCTTTTTCATTAAATAATCAATCATCACATTAGTACAATACAATTTTATATTTTTAAATATACTCTATATGTTCAGGGTAAGGGGTGAAGCTCTTTTCCTCTGTAATACCTGTTCAAGAGTTTAATGGATTAACAGATTAGTTTTTACCTTGAGGAAAAAAAAAAGTACAAATTTGTCTCATTAGGATATTTCTACCAAGCATTTCTTAAGGCTATAGTTCAACATTTGGTTTCAAAAAGAAAGAAAAGTTTCATTTAAAAAATAATTTAGTGAATTACATTCTTTTATAACTTCCACCGTAATTAGTTACAAAGGTAAGTCTAAAGGTTCTTAGTTTCGTGTACTAATTTACATTTATATTTAAAGATTAATTTTACTTGTATCTTAAAACAAGAATTTTATGTTGGAAAAAAAAAAAGAACAACAACAACAACAAAAATCCAAAAAACAAAAAACTACACTTGTATAAAGGCTGGAAATGTCCCACGGCCAATGCTCTGTCTCAGTATTTTCTACCACAATCAAGAAAGAGAGACGTGGGTTAAGGTTCCCCTTTCCCGAGGAAACTGTGGGCTGAAGATCTGAGGGACACACAGAAACAACTGGATTTCTCTTTTTTACAACTGTACCAGAACTTCACAGCTACAGTGAGAGCATCAACACACGGAAAAATGACTTCACTCAGACAGGAGTTAGAAAAGTTGGGGTGGCCTCGGGGCCAGGGCACCACCCAGAGTGGTGAGGTTTGCAGTCAGTCACCCAAGAGTGGAGAGAGAGTGTGTGTGTGCACAGATGTGTATGTGTGTATATATACAGATCTCTATATATATAAATAACCATGCTCAGTCCTTTACGAGCCTGTAAATATGATGCTGTGCTCCATGTTCACTATTTGATACTTCAAACACACAGGCCATGCACAGGAGAGTTTCTTGTGTGTCCCTGTTTGTTACCACCTGTTTAAAAAAAGAAGAAGAAAGATTCACTATCAAGATAGTACAATGGTGAAAACACACACGCTCCACTGACACTGCGGTAATTGGGGGTGGGATGGCAGCAACCACCTGGAGCAAACCAGCCAATCAGCAGAGCCGTCAGGCCTGCCTCAGTATCACCCCACTGGCCTGATCCGAATGCCATCGAAACTCAGCAGCTACACCCCCAAGGGCATTACAGACTACATCTGGTCCCACCTGTATTCTGAGGCCAAAGACCACAAGGAGTAGTATGGTTCATGCATTTGGTTTTCCTTGGACAACTTTCTTTACAACAGAGATTACTTCTATTCTTCTGTCCCACAGTAAAGCCATTTTCCCTAGGCAACCGACTACTCTCTGTCATATTGTCCTATATCCAAATGAACATCTTGATGAGGTGCCACGGGATACACAGAAACACTGTAAAATGATGAACATGTGCATTGCCTCACAACATGGAAAATCTACTTTTTTTCCTATCTCATTCTTAAACGTTCACTCAGTTTTGTTTCATAATAGTCAAGGCACATGTGAGTGCCTGTGCACCACTGCATCCGTCAGCAGTCTCTGGACTTGTGAAACAATCTGTCATGTGAAAGCCCTACGGGACAGGCAGGAACACGCGAGGGAGTAATTCTTTCTAGCGATCCTGGCTTCATCTTGCAAACGAGATGCTGAGATACTCATCCGTCTCCTCTCTCAAGTCCCACATCTGGAGCTCCTCTCCTGTCTCATGCTGACGGTCACAGCTTCCTTCTCAACCGTGTGCTCTCAGGCCCACTTCACTGCAGCTCCCACTCCCCCCTTACTGCACCCGACTTCCTGTGCATTCCTAGAAGGAATATTGAATGCTCTCGTGACTTAGTTTGGCTCTGCTGACCCAGTGTTTGGAAACACTGTAAATATCGGGCAGCCTAGCCCAGTTGGCTTCTTGCCTCATTTCCTCTGGATGCATCTGGCTGCTTCACCTAGTGGGCTTCCCTCCTCCTTAACTCATCCACTGTTAACAGTTCCTGGCCAAAGAAGAAAGTCCCATGGTGCTTCTAATTTTCCCTGTAAGTACAAAAATGTTGGTGGAATTTACTTTAGTGGCCATCTCTCTAACAAACCAGATTTTCCTGAAAAACAGGGATTGTGTTTCCCAAGAAGAGCTTAGAGTGGGACAGTGCAATCACTGAAGTATCTGCACAATGAACAGCTATGGTCCAACAGCTATGGAGTGCATACTATATATACATCTACTTCAAGTTAAATGTTACAAAGATTATCTTAATAGCTCTGTGAGTGGGTGGCGAACTGCACTGTGTTTTGATACAGAGGTCTTATCATCTAACAGATCATTTCTCTCAATCTTTCATTCATTTCGCAGGAAGATTTCTTGGACCCGAAAGTAGGCAGAGTCTTCCTACTTGACTCTCCAGAGACACTGGCCAGTTGGAGTCTCTCTGTTCATTTAGGGGTGATTTAACATGTGTGCCTCCTTCAGCGGACTCCAGTTTGCCCTGGCATCCTTGTCATCTGAGACACAGGGAAGCTCCCTTTGGGGTTAATCTCAGGAAGATCTGTTTATGCATTAAGGCAAGAAGTACATCACCCCGTTGGCATAACCAAGAAGCTCCCAGCTCACCCTGTACTCCCTTGGTATCTGTTTCAAAGGTACTCTGTAGTCAGCAGCACACACCTTCAGCTCACTAACCTGCCTTTTCCACTCCACCAGGCCAAGTTACCTCACACAGGTACTGGGTTCCACTGCACCGCAGCCCAGCAGCTAGTGGTCTTCCCATTAAGCTGAAGGAGTTGAAGCTCCCTCAACAATGGCCTTTGAGGTGGACAGAACTGAGCACTCAGTTCACACATGGAGATGGGAACTGACAGCTGAAGAATTCAGCTTACTTGTGCAAGGTCTAAGCTAGAGCTGGGTCTTCAACCCAAGTCTTGCATTTCTTGTCATAAAATATTCCACAGAGTATCTTTCCTTTCTAATCAAGTCTTAATTCAAGTTCACTGCTAGCTGTGTGACTTGCAGTAAGCTTCATATTCTTATCCACAGAACAAGAAAAAACAGAACTGCAGAGTTCAGCAGTGAACATTTCATGACCTAACACCTGGGTCTAGCTAGCTGAGTGCCTGTGTCCCTCATGGATGATCCTACCTTCTTTTAAATTTACTACTAAAATTGTATTGTTTTTGGCCCTGCACCATAGCCTGCTGGCTAAAGTCACACACTGGGATCCCATATGGGTACCGATTTGTGTCCTATCTAGCTCCCTGCTTGTGGCCTGGGAAAGCAGTAGGGGATGAACCCAAAGCCTTGGGACCCTGCCACCCATGTGGGAGATCTGGAAGAAGCTCCTGGCTTCAGAATAGCTCAGCTCTGGCTGTTGCAGGCACTGGGGGAATGAAACAGCAGACAGAAGAACTCTCTGTCTCTCCTCTCTGTAAATCTGACTTTCCAATAAAAAGAAGTAAATCTTTAAAAAATTGTTTCCTGTTTGTTTTCTGATTGCAATCCAAAAGGAGAAGAAAAAAAGTATTTCTAATGTTCGAACATGACTTTGAAAGACAATGGAAATAGGGGCCCTTTGTTCTAGTTGCTGTCTCCTTCAGTATGTTCAGTTGCTCTTACCAGGGTGCCACATCTGAAGGTTTGGCTCATCTCCTAAGTTAACCTGAAGAGACCAAGAAAATCCACACCAGCAGCCAGCATGGTCTTCCTGACACAAGCGTTCTATCCAGCAGACATAGCAAAACACCTGCAACTTGGGCCCGGCGGCATGGCCTAGCGGCTAAAGTCCTCGCCTTGAACGCGCCGGGATCCCATATGGGCGCCAGTTCTAATCCCGGCAGCCCCACTTCCCATCCAGCTCCCTGCTTGTGGCCCGGGAAAGCAGTGGAGGACGGCCCAAGGCTACACCCATGTGGGAGACCCAGAAAAAGTTCCTGGTTCCTGGCTTCGGACTGGCACAGCACCGGCCGTTGCGCTCATTTGGGGAGTGAATCATCGGACGGAAGATCTTCCTCTCTGTCTCTCCTCCTCTCTGTATATCTGACTGTACAATAAAAATAAATAAATCTTAAAAAAAAAAAAGCCTCCTGCAACTTGTCACCCAGCCATGTGCCTCCACCTTCCAACCCCAGGAACAAGTTGGAAAGTTAAACTTCTCCTAATCATCAGTTGTAGAGTCCTGTTTCCATATCCATGAGTGCCAGCTTAATTTCAGTTTTTGTACAGTATTATTCTATGTTATTATTCCTAGCAGAAATTCACCAACAGGTGATTAATAACATACTCAGAAATTAGTCCATCCTGATGGTTTCCCTGGACGGTATCAGTGGCTGAAATCACATGTTACATGGGAGTTTTACATATTCAGCTCCAAGGGCTTGGTGGCTAACAAGTGCAGTACCACTTTTCCAGGCCACATTTATCTGAGTTGTGCTCTGTGAGGTGCAGTTTTATGGACTTAGGGCATCTGCAATGTGCAGAAATAAGACTCAGGCCTGACTTTCAAGAAACAGCGTAGACTGTCTCCAAGAGGGAGGGAGGGAGGCAGGAAGGGAGGACAGCTATCCACTCGAGTGTCTGCTAATTCCCGAGGCCCTTACAATGCCTTTGCTCATCAGAATGCTAAGGCGAGGAAGCTGTTCTTAAGTAGCAACACACAACCCTGGTGAGACACACACCTGCTACCTGCCAGCAGCACCCTGGTCCTTGAACTTCTCAACTTTTGCAAGATCATTAGAGGGAAAGGCTAATGAAGAATTAAGGAGCTTGTATGAGAGATTACCACCCCCGCAGCCCTGCTCCGCTCAACTGCTGGTGTCTGAATTTTGGAGGGACACAGGCACATCTGGGAATTACATGTAAGACCTTTTACCAGGTGAATGCCAATCACGTGTGAGCCCTCCAACTTGCTGTGGCTCAATTACCAGACCCCTAGGCAGTGGGGTTCTCCCTCAGCTGCATGACCTGGAGATCTAAAGCTAAGCAAGAAACACAACACTGGCCCTACTGGCAGGGATTCCGATCTCACATCTTTTAAAAGCTTCCTGATGAATCTGACACACACAAGGTTTGGGGCTTTTATTTTACAGTGGCACCTACTGGTGCCAGCTCGTGGAAGTTACTCTTTAAATACAAAGTAATTTCATAAGCAGGAGGGTGTGTATTTGTACCATGGAAACAAGCAAAGGTTTTAGATTGGGAAACAGCCCATCCTTTTTGTTTTTTCTTTTCAAATCGGTGCACCACTAATTGAGAGCCACTGTCTCCAGGCGGGCATCCAGCCTCATGGCTGACATGCCACTAGCCTGCATCCCTAGCCAGGGGCTGGGCTCACTCCTCACTTCTGCTCCTGACTGCGGCTTTCTGCGAACGTACACCTCGGGAGGCAGCAGGTGATGGCGCAAGTCCAAGTCCCTGCTCCCTCCTGGCTTCTTTGACCTGGCCCAGCCCTGGCTGTTGCAGGCACTGGGAAGTGATCCAGCAGATGGCTCTTCTCTGTCTTTGCCTTATTTCTCAAATACACAAAAATCAACAAATAAAAATTTCCCTCCTTAAGTATTTTAGTTCTTAATCCAAGTGACAAAAAGTTACTGGGCCTTTGGAGGACTGATAACTGACCACAGTGTAGCCTTGCTGACTCTGTTAGCAAACGGTCTCCACAAAGCTTATGGCACTGGTGTCTTCCTAACAGTCTAATCAGGCAATGTTATTACTTAATGGGTCTTAAGAAACCCATTACTGCATATTTTTATAAGCAAGTCTTGAGGACAACACTTTTCTAATAAATTTTACAAATGAAGACCCAAGGAACTACTGGGGGTATACACACCTGCCCACACTGCCCTGGGGACCTGGTCAGTGTACCCAGTGTGAGCCTCGGGCACAGTCATCTGTTCTTTCTCCTCTGGCTGCCCAGGAGATTTTGAACATGTTCCTGCCCATGCAGAGTACTCCCCTTCCTTCCTGGTCAGTGTATTCTGCTCTGATCCGTGTTTCTCCAGGCACTGGCAGAAGGTAGATTCCTTCTTTGCACACCTACGTGAATCTCCCATGAAGGAAGGTATGTTTGAAACACAAACCCTCTGGCTCAGCTTCTGCTTGGGTTCTGACTGCATGCATGCATTGCCCACACCGGGATTATCTGGGGGAACTGAACAAAAAGAAAGTCATGTGCCTTGGCCTATCTCAGACAGCCTGACATCACCAATCTAGGATACACACTGGGCATCATGATTTCTTAGAAACTCTCCTGCTAAGTGACACAGCTGGGATCACAAACCCACACTTCTTGCTACCTACCTGCACTGGTTCTACCAAACTCAGAAGCCCCACCAGAGAAGACCATAGATTCAAGTCAGCCTTATGAATGCTGTCCAACTTAGACGGGTCTCCCTCGGACCTTCCAAGACGCCCTCCACACCCTCCCTAGATGCCTTGCAGCAGAGTCTGCTAGACAAGAAGGAGATGAAACCATTACCAATAAAATGGTGAAGTTTTCCAAAACACTGTTCATCATATATTTCTCCGGTAAGTGTTTGAGCTTGTGGATGAAGTTGATCATGTATTCACACATCGGGGAACGGTTTATTCGGTATACAAATCGGCCGTTCTCAAACCTTGCATACTCCGTCTGTGAGGTAAAAAACAGTTTGGGTGTTTTTATACTTAACACATACATGAAGCAGCTATGGCTGGCTGTGAAAGCACTTCACTTGTTGGCTGAATGTCATGTCATTTACTCAGTTTACCCAATTTTAAAACATCCCATCTCAACATTTACTGCCATACTACAAGTCCATTATTGTTTCTGAAACTAATATAAAGAAAAGTTTGGAAGATGATGGCTTTAAAGGGCATTTAACAGATCATTTTAGCAAAGTACATACACAAACACAAAATAGTAACAGCTTAGTGTTTCTGTAGAACAGGAGGGCTCCAGCAAGTCACAACGCTTCACAACAAAAGTGCCTCGGCAATGTGATAAGGCTGCCCGGGCCAACAGCTACCATAGCTAATTTCCCTCTGTTACAGAGACTGGCTTACTTTAGCTCCCAAGTGCTAGCTGTTTCTGTCTTTGCAAACTAAAACACGGGCCTGGCATGGTAGCCTAGCTGCTAAAGTCCTCGCCTTGCACGAGCCCGGATCCCATATGGGCACTGCTTCTAATTCCAGCAGCCCTACTTCCCATCCAGCTCCCTGTTTGTGGCCTGGGAAAGCAGTCGAGGACGGCCCAAAGCCTTGGGACCCCGCATCCATGTGGGAGACCCACCAGAAGTTCCTGGCTTTGAATCAGTTCAGCTCTGGCCACTGCAGCCACTTGGCAGGGACAGGGGGGCGTGAATCAGTGAATGGAAGATCTTTTCTGCCTCTCCTCTCTGTATATCTGACTTTCCAGTAAAAAATAAATCTTAAAAAAAAACCACACAAAAATAGTACTGGTACAGATGCAGACTGTATAACCCATGGAACTGCTTAGAGATCAGTTCTAGGTCAGCGTTGTGCTGCAGTGGTTAAGGCTTCCACCTGTGATGCCGATGCCCTATATGTGCATTGCCATGTTCCAGCTGTTCCACTTCCTGCCCAGCTCCCTGCTAATGGCCCAGTGCCTGGAAGCTCCTGGCTTCAGCCTAGCCCAGTGCTGGCTGTTGTGGCCATTTGGGGAGTGAAATCCAGAGGATGAAAAATCCTGCTTTCTTTGTGTCTCCAACTCTGACCTTCAAAAAAATAAAAAATCTTACAAAAAAAAAGAAATCACTTCTAAATAACCTTGATTCAAAAAGAAATCAGAAAGGAGCTCTTTCCATAGCAAGGAGAAAGGAGACACAAACTAACAACATACAGTGAAGTTCTGCTACAAGACAACTTCCAGAGGCAGCCTGACAGCCCTCCCCGTTACAGTGGAAAACATACTCAACTAAAAATAGGCCTTAAAAAAACCTGAAGAGTGGTTGTAGTGGCTGCTTGAGCTATGTGCATCCCATATTGGAGCTGCCTGACTTGAGTTCTGGCTCCTCTGCCTCCTATCCCATTCCTGCTAATGTGCAATCTGGGAGGTAGTGGAGATGGCTCGCTCAAGTCCTTGGGACCCTGCTACCCAGGTGGGAGACTTACGGAATTCGGGGCTTGTGGCTTCTGCCTGGACCAGCCCTGGTGATTGCAGCCATTGCAAAGTGAACCAGTGGATAGAAGACTTACTCCATCACTCTCCCTCTCTGCCTTTCAAATAAGTAAATAAACCTTTTTAAAAATTATTTTTATTTGAAAGGTAAATTAACAGAGAGAAGAGACAGAGAAGGTCTTCCATCTATTGCTTCACTACCCAAATGGCCACGCTAGGCTTGACCCGAAGCCGGGAGCCAAGAACTTCTAAAGAGTCTCCCACATAGGTACGGGGTTCCAAGGACTTGGGTTGTCCTCTACTGCTTTCCCAGGACACAAGCAGGGAGCTGGATCAGAAGTAGAGCAGGCGGGACATGAACCAGCACCCATATAAGACGCTGGCACCATAGGACAGAGGATTAACCCGTTAAGCTATGGCACTGACCCCAATAAATCTCTTTTTAAAAAACATATAAAGACAAAATAATTTCAAAGCGAAAATTTTATTCAGCCTTTAAAGAACAATCATTTCCAATATTATTTGGAATGACATTAGACTACAGAAAAAGATAAGCATTCCAATTCTTTTTATGAACACATTCAACACTGAAATGGATGAACAGATTATAAGAAAGAAATGTATAGACTAATACCATGTATGAGAAGTAGAAATTCTATGTGAAATATAAGCAGATAGGCGTCAGTGTGGTGACATAGCAAGCTAATCCTCTGCAGCAACTGCATCCCATATGGGCACTGGTTCATGTCCCAACTGCTCCACTTCTGATCCACATCCCTATTTATGGCTTTGGAAAGCTGCAAAGAATGGCTCAGGTCCTTGGGATCCTGCACCCACATGAAAAACCCATAAGTCGTCCCCGGCTCCTGGCTCCAAACTAACTCATCTCCAGCTCATGCAGCCATTTGGAGTGTGAAACAATGGATGGAAGATTTCTGTCTCTCCTTCTTTCTATAGCTCTGATTTCAAACAAAAAGAAAATAAACCTTTAATAATAATAATAAGAAAAAACCAGCAGATAGAACACAGCAACATATCCAAAGCAGGATTTCCTTCAGCAATGGTTCCCACACAGGGAAGTGTGAAGGCAATGGATGCTGACAAACTGGAGAGACATCATAAGGAGGGCTGCATTTCCAACAACACTGCAGCTGTCACTAACAGAAATCCTGAGTCAAAGAAGAGCAGAAAGCACTTCGACATTTATAAAAACCAACAGCAAGCAAAATCCCAAATGGCAAAGTCTCAAGATTATTTCTTTTAAGATTTATTGATTTGAAAGGCAGAGACACACAATTAAAGCGAGAAAAAGACATTTTCCCTTTGCTAATTTACTCCTCAGATGGCTGCAAATTCAAAGTCAGGAGCTAGGAACTTCACCCTGATCGACCACACGGGTGGCAGAGGCCCAAGTACCTGGGCCATCTTCTGCTGCCTTTCCAAGTGTAATGGCAGGAAGCTGGATAGGAAGCCAAGCAGCCAGGACTCAAATCGTCACTTCAATACGGGATGCAAGTGCCAACTTAACCGGCTGCAATGGTGGCTTCCTGTACAAGAATATCTACTATCACTACTGATTTATCTGAAAGGCAGAGAAAGGGGGATAAGGAGAAAGCTCTCATCCACTGATTTCACTCCCCTACATGACTGCAACAGCCGAGGCTCAGCCAGGTCAAAGCCAGGAGTGAGAACTTAACCCAGGTCTCCCACAAGAATGGCCGGGACCCATTTACTTGAGTTGATACCTGCTGCCTCCCCAAAACCTGGTATCAGAAACCGACAGAAAGCTACAATGAGAGACAGATTTGGGATTTGAAGCCAGGCACTTTAACACATGAAATAAAACCCCAGCAGAGTCACCAAATGCCTACCTCCATCATTGTTTACACAGCTGTGCTGAAGATTTTAGCAAAAAGAAAGTGAGAAAATGATTTTAAAAACTGACATAAACATTGGAGCAGAAGAGGTAAAATAAGATTTTCTTTTCTGACACAAACATGTTATATACGGGGGCCACTGTGGGGGGGCTTAATAAACTAATCCTCCCTCCACAGTGGCAGCATTCCACAAGGGTGCAGGTTTGTGTCCAGTTGCTCCACTTCCCATCCGGCTCCCTGCTAATGGCCTGGAAAACACGAAGAGGACAAACAGCCCAAGGATGTAGGACACCAGCAAGAAGCTCTGGGATCCCAGCTGCACATCGACCAAGGGTTAGCCAATGTGGCCATTTGGGGAGTAAACCAGCAGACAGCAGATCTCTCTCTGTAACTCTTTCAAACAAAAAAAACAAAAACAAAAACAAACAAAAAAACCCCAATTTTTAAAAAATGTTATATACACAGAAAACTCAAGAATCTAGAGAAAATCCATTGGAGCTAACTGTGATAAGTCTCAAGGCAAACATATTTAAGCTATTATCTACAATGTCAATCTTCAAAAATAGATAAACTATAGAAATTGAAGAACTCTTCTGTATTCAAACAATTAAAGTTTAGAAATCAGAAATTACAATAAATATAAAGGGATATATATACACATATATATCTGTAAAATTTTATTAAAACATATAGAATACAAGTAAAATTTTAATTTAAAAGATTTAATGTTAGTAATATATCAATCTTTCCCAAAGTGATAGCTGAATCTAATACAATTAAAATTAGATGGTTGAAAATGTTTTTTGTTTTTCTATAAAGTTTAAGAAAAATCTCACTATTTCTAAAAATCCAGAATAGTGAAGACATGGAAACAACCCAGAAACCCCTTGAAAGAGGAATGCGTAAAGAAACTGGTATAGCTCGGCAGCGGGTGGGTCCCGGGACAGGGCGTCTCATGCCCGGATCCCATATGCCCGCCATCATGGGCACATGGTGAACTGGGCTTGGGCCTGCCGGGGTTCCAGGGCTGCTTCCTTCGGGGTGAGTACACCAACCAAGGGGGAGGTCTCTGGAGCCGGGCTAGGCAGGCCCACCCGCCGCTCTCATTGGGCGGTGGAAGGGATTGGGGTGGAGCGCGACCTTGGGCCTGGGAGCTTATACCTCCCGTCGCCTCTCGGCAGTGGGTAGGTCCTGGGACAGGGCGTCTCATGCCCGGATCCCATACGCCCGCCATCATGGGCACATGGTGAACCGTGCTTCGGCAGCCAGGGCACCATTTGGTGCCAGGCTTTGCCTGCTGGCCGCCCAGCAGGGGAGCTCTGGGATTTTGGTGGTTTGAATTGCTGCTTATGTGGCTCCAGGTTGAACCCGATGTGTTTCTGCAAGGTGAATACATCCTAAAGTTTCCCAATGACAGTTACTCTTCCTTTAAAGAAAGTGTTACCACTTAGCAATGCTGACCACCAAATACCAGTTCATGCTAAAGCTTTGGCATGGGTCTTGTCCAGCAGACACACTAACTGGTTTAAGGCTACCGCCAAGGAGCACATGAGCTGGAATGGGGGCTGCGTTCTGATCGGGTGACAGTGAAATCCCCCTTGGCACAAGCATGGACTGGGACTGGACGCAGCAGGCTGGACCAGACCCCAGGCTGGACCAGACCCCAGCACTGTCTGGTGCTCCTGGAGGACCAGGATAGAAGTGGGATGGATTATGCTAGGTCGCAACCCCTACTGAACCATGTGTGAGCCGTATGTGGGAATGGACTGGACGAGCCATGACTGGGCTGAAATATCCAACAACAAGAACCAGCTTGGGTCGAAAGCTAGTCAGGAACTGGGCTAGGGCTGGATCATGGACCTACTGTATGCGCAAAATCCGGCACTGGGAGAGGTTCTGATGGAGGAGCCTGGGCAACTCCTCTGGCAGGACACAGACCCCACGGGTAAGCGCAAGAAGCATGAATGGAAACAGCCCAGAGCAGGCCACAAGAAGTTTCCCACTGGCATACATTAGGCATGGATTGGGGATAGACCAGGCTAATCAGTTAACATCATCACTGGCAAATCAGAGCACCAGAACAGAGTAAGGGTCGAGCCAGGTTTGGTTGCGATAAAAACCAGTCCACACTACAGAATGCCAGGAGGAGGTTGACTGTGCCGGATGTGACTGCAGTGCCCATCCAGCACACATGAGAAACAGGAGGGGAGGGGACAGAGCCAGCGGGGGAATAAGGGGAGGTTCCCCTGCTGGACAGCTACTCCCACTGGAGAGCATGAACTGGGATGGGGGCAGACCAGACTAAGCAGGGCTACAACACCTGTGCGCCTCATGTGGACTAGACCAGGGAAAAGCCAGGATGGGTTGATTGTTCCTATGGGTGCAACCTACAATTAGAATGGGAGAGGCTGTTTGGGCATAGCCGTAGCATCAGCTGGCAGAAACTGGTACTGGGGACTAATCCTGTCAAGTTAAACTGCAGAACCACCTGGAAAGTGCACAATCTGGGAGTGACAGACCTGGGAGGGAAATAGTGGGTTCCCCCCTCTTGGGTTACCACTCCCACGGGAAGGCACGAGAACTAGGACAGGGGCTGGGGTAGCTAGACAGAGAGGCACTCAACCACACCCGTGAAGGCTTGACTGTTGAGCTGGGTAGAGGGATCCAAGCTTCAATGCCATTTGCCATGTACGAGAACCAGGGGGGATGTGGGTCAGATTGGACTGGTCTGCCACACATACTGGCAAACCAGGGTAGGGGGTGGGCCTGGTGGGGGTTATTGTGGGCCGCTCTCATCAGGCTGCAGCTCCCACTGGTTTAGGTGAAGACCAAGTATGTGCTGTGCAGAACCAGGCTGGACTGCATCACCCATTGGTTCCAGTAGAAGGCGGGGCTGAAAACAGAACCAACCCAGCAATTGCAACTACCAGCTGACTGGGTGATGGACTGTGCTGGGCCCTGTGCTTGCTGGTGCATATGAGTATCTGGCCTGGGAACACCTCAGACGAAGTTTCTTTGGTGATCTTCCCAATTGAAATGCCAGACTCAGAACCCTAACCATGAAGGGACAGAAGATGGAACAAGCTAATCAGCCACCTCAGCTATAGGTTGGCAACAAAATACCGGGCAAATAGAAACGCTATGATGGACAATGTCAATTAATGGATTTTTCAACAACCTCATCGTGTTTGGAGAGGCAAGATTGGCAGCAATTTCAAAACTGGTGACCTATTGAAACCACTTCAATGAGTATCTCAGAGCATGCCCCACATGTGGGACTTGGGGTGGGTGGGAAATCAGGTGGGACTCCTCCCTCAATATTCCCCTCTACCTCAGATATATGAAGGAAACAATATGGAAATAATAGTCTTACCCACTTTCCTGTAGCCCTTGACCCTTTATGCACAAATTAACCATGTAAAGATTGTTAAAATAAAAAATATTAAAAAAAAAAAAGAACGACATTAAAGAAAAGAAGTAAGAACCAAAAAAAAAAGAAGAAGAAGAAACTGGTATAACCACTCCATGGAATACTACTTAGCCATTAAAAAGAAGGAAATTCTACCATTTGCAACAAAATGGTCCCAACTACAGACAAGTGAAATAAGCCAATCCCTAAAGGACAAATGTGATATGTTCTCTATGATATAAGGTAACTTTCATGCAAAATAAAGTAGAAATAAAAATTAAAAATAATAAATATAAATATTAATAAATAGAAATACATAAATACATATATTCATCTAGAGGAACTGTAAATTAGAGGCAAGTATACGGTGAAGATACACTGCAGCATGCATCTCTACTCCCAAATCAAAGATGGACTCCCAATGAAACTGTTAAAATATCTCCTGACAATAGGATGCTGGACTTACTACCACTGTCTATGCCTACAATGTCAGGATACGCTCAAGCAGCAGAACGATGGACTTAATGACTTACTGGAAGACTATACTATACAGGAAAATGGGAGGGGTGGTGAACAGGGAGGGTAGAAGGGGAAACTCCTGAGCCTATACAGAACCATATCATGAAAAATTAGATTTTTAAGTAAATAAAAGAATAATACATAAAAATGAACATAAGTAATTCTAAGGGTACAGAGTGCTGTAAATTGCTTAACAGGTATAATATAATTTTCTTATTACAAGTAACCTTGTCTCTTAGTAGGTCTTTTAAGTGTGACCTTTTTATTCAAATTATAAAAACCAGTATTTCAACAGAGAAAAAAAAAGGCTGGTAGCCTGCTTAAAAACACGCCTGAGAACAAGGTCAGTAAACCCTGCAGACAGTAAACACACTAGAGGTGACCACAGTGAGGTCCACACGGACATGAACGGAGGGAGGAAAAAAACCAGAGGCCCAAGGAAGAGCACCTAGGACATGGGCACTTCCAAAGAGAAGCTGCCAAAAGCCACTGCTGGACTCAAGGCGGCAGGCTTTAGCAGCCAGGTGCTGAAGGCCACCATGACTGTCATTCACCAAGCCTGGGAGGTGGTGCTGGGTGGGCAGAGCCTCCCAGGAGGCCACCCAGGAGGTCTCACAGCACGAGCTGGGCAGGGTGAGGCTGACCTCAGACACAAAGAGTGTTGGCCTGTGATTACCCACTTCTTCCATATCATTCTACCTTTCTAGAAGTGACAGGGAGAACAAGTTGAAGATGGGGGAGGGAGGAGACAACCCTTGACTGCAATGAAAGTGCGAAGGCAAGTCCTGGTCTACTCCGGAATGAAGTTTCTGGTACACAGAGGCCAACTCACCTCTACTTTTTCTACTACTTGCTTCCCAAAGGAGCAAACTTTGGTGGAGCAGGTGACGGTCATGTTTTCCGAGCTCTCGTACTGACTGGTGACACCGTAAAAAGCCCCGGCATCGTCTTGAATATTGCAGTTCAAATCAGCCTGTTGGAAAGAAGTGAGGTGAGCAGGTTACTTTGGGGTCAGAGGAGTCAGCCACACTTGCCTGGGCCAGGGAGCCAGTGCTCCTTCAGATACCAGGCCTGGGAACTGGGTGCCCATCTGCACAACGCCCTCCAACGCCACGCAGCACGGATATGCCCTGTATCTGAATCCTCACTGTGCCCTGGCCATCCTCCTGTGGAATACACGCAGAAGGCAGGGAATGGCCTGGATTCACAGTCACACATCTTGGAAGATGTTTAAAGAACAGAGATCCATCAGGGCACAAAGAACTGGGTGACATACCTAAAAACTGAAGGCTTCCTAGAAATGATCACCACCGGAAAAGAGATGGCATCTATCAAAGCCTGGCTTGCAAGGAAGCAAAATAACTGGCACAAACTGCCACTCCTGTAACACCTTTTCATTACCTACCAGCTAGGTGAGGCTCGTGCAGACACCACAGAGGGCCTCCCCACAGCCTAATATGGGAGTCGGCTATATAAAATAACTATCATTCAGGCAGAAAATGAGCAGCACATCAGAGGCACTCCAAGTTCAGGCATGAATCCGGGCACCACTTTCAGCTGGAGAACTTAGGAAAGGGATAGTGAGGACACTGTGGCAGGAGCTTGCCAAGCCTGCTTCTAGCCACAGTGCAGGACGCAACAGGAACGGGGCAGCACGCACAGTTTGGGCCCAGGTGGTAGAGTGACAGAAACGGGGTGTGGGCTGCATCCTGTGTGAGCGGCAGAGTTCTTAGAAGCTTTGATGCCAGCAAGTAATGGGACTGGAGAGCAAGGGTGCGGCAGGATCCCTGGGGAAGGAGGCTGTGGCAGTGTTCCAGTCTCTGTTAGGGCTCTATTGTGGCCCTCCTCCCATTTCTGTGAGGGAAACATCTCTCAAAGCAACAGTGTGGGAGGGGTTTAGGACCTCGCTCTCATGCCCAGTCTAAAGTGGTAGGAGGGCTTTCAGGAATGATTCTTCCCATGTGCCCTTCCAGCTGCTGCCTAGGAGGATGCAACAAGACCTCCCCAGGTGTTGGCACCATGACCTTGAACTCCCCCAGACCCAAGAAGAGACAAATCTCACTCCTTGACAAACCATGCTGTCCACGGTATTCTGTGACAGCAGCACAAACTAGAACAAGACAGTCATGGCTTCATGTCTTCCCTCCCTTCTGCACCTACTGGACCCTGCAGCACACAGCTTTGAGTTTAGAGCTGGGGATAAGAAAGAGCAATCCAAGGTTGAGCCAGCTCCTGCACAGATGTGAGACTTCCACTACGGTACAGATGTCACAAGGTCAGACAGGTGGGGGCTCCCGAGGATGAGGGAAGCCTTGGGCAGGAGGAACATTCAGTGAGGGAGACAATAGAGGGTGCACGGCCAGCGAGAAGGACTTACAAAGCCTAAGGAGACCCAGACAGTAATGGAGACCATATGGCAGGAGAAGCGGCAGGTGGGAGGATCTGGGTCTGCTACAACAGGTGTGAGCAGCAATGGGGCATGGCCAGGTCTGCTTTCCAAAGAGGCAGGCCTAACCCCAGCCAGAGGAGACTCAGAAAGTGAGCAAGACCAATGCAGTGATGAGGGCCAGGCTCTGGGTACCAAGGAACAGTGAGATTTTGGGGCAGGGGATCTGATACTCAGATGGGGTTTTGTATTTGGTGAGATCTAGTGCACTGGAGCGAATCACACCGACTGGCACTGCCCATCATGAAGTCCTCGCTCAGTCTATAAATGTTCAACAGGGTCCTGCATCTGAATTTGTCTTGATCTGAGTATCAGGAAAATGTCCTATTTTCCACCTCCAAGGAAGAAAAGCATGCACCCTAGGCTGCCCATGTTTATTTCGTGTGTCAGGAAATTCAAAGCTAAATTCGGTGCTCAACCTATAATCAACCTGCCTCAGGTGCTTTTAACAGCGTCTAACCACCAGTATACAGTTTCTTTTGTTGGTTTGCAATCTGGAATTTAAAGAACTTTCCCACATTTTGCTTTTAGAATTACACAAGACAGACCCGGCAGCGTGGTCCTCGCCTTGAAAGCACCGGGATCCCATATGGGCGCCGGTTCTAATCCCGGAAGCTCCACTTCCCATCCAGCTCCCTGCTTCTGGCCTGGGAAAGCAGTCAAGGACGGCTCAAAGCCTTGGGATCCTGCATCCGTGTGGGAGACCCGGAAGCAGTTCCTGGATCCTGGCTTCGGACTGGCATAGCATCGGCCATTGCACTCACTTGGGGAGTGAATCATCAGACGGAAGATCTTCCTCTCTGTCTCTCCTCCTCTCTGTATATCTGACTTTCCAATAAATAAATAAAATCTTTAAAAAAAGAAGTCCTCGGCCCAAAGCTTTGGGAACCTGCACCCGCGTGGGAGACCCGGAGGAGGCTCCTGGCTTCGGATCGGCATAGTATCGGCCCGTTGCGCTCACTTGGGGAGTGAATCATCGGACGGAAGATCTTCCTTTCTGTCTCTCCTCTCTGTATATCCGCCTTTCCAATGAAAAAATAATAAAAATAAATCTTTAAAAAAAAAAAAGAAGTCCTCTATATTAAAAAAAATAAAGAATTACACAGGGCATAAATAATAGATAAATCATAGATAAAAGATCCAGGAGCATGCTCTTCTCATATTCAGAGGTTCAACATCTGGCGTCACCAACTAGCAGCTCAGTGGGGCATGATGCATGTCCCTCTTGCAGTGAGCAAGCCAGGTCTGAAAGAACCCCAGTGTCAGCCTCAGCTCGTCTCCAGGGCACATTCTAGGGCACAGCAGGGTCCTCAGTACGGGCATCACCACCCAACACCCACGAGCCACTATCTCCCTGGCGCAAGCCAGCAGCAGACCTTCAGGAGCTGCTGCTGCTCATTTGTCTTGCATCTTTTACAGCAAGGCTCTGCAAAGTGGCCTGGGTGGTTGGCAGCAGCAGGATGATCAGACAGGGTTCTTCTCAGTGGGATTTGCGGTGGGGCAGAGGGAACCAACCAGTACAAAGGGTGCAGCCTCTTCTTTCTTTCCCCGAGATTCCCATTCTCCCCAGAGGTTACCAGTGCCACTGTTGCTTCTAGTGCCCTTCAGCGATATTTAGCATAGAGAAGGCTGGACACATTAAGTCTGCCCCCTCTGACTCCTTTTGTTACACAAATAGTACACTCCTCTAAACCTTGCTTTTACAGATGCATACATATTTAACTGCATATCTTAGCAGTCACACAGCACTGACCCAGGGCCAGTGGTAAGAATGACCACTTTCGAAAATGGACAGCCACACTTCTAGGTGGCTGCACACTGCCTCACTGCACAGGTATGCTGTGACTTAAGGCACACTCTACTGAGAATATGTGCCATGCTCCCCAACAAGCTTATGCTGAGCAAGAATGGGACATTAGAAATTATTTTTACTTTTCTTTCAATGAAAAAACAATCCCTTGAGCCCGCCGTGGTGGCGCAAGTGGTTAAGGTCCTCACTTTGCACGCCCAGGATCCCATATGGGTGCCGGTTCTAATCCTGGCGGCCCCGCTTCCCATCCAGCTCCCTGCTTCTGGCCTGGGAAAGCAGTCGAGGATGGCCCAAAGCCTTGGGATCCTGCACCCGCACAGGAGACCCGGATGAGGCTCCTGGCTTCGGACCGGCATAGCATCGGCCATTGCGCTCACTTGGGGAGTGAATCATTGGACGGAAGATCTTCCTCTCTGTTTCTCCTCTGTATATCCACCTTTCCGATAAAATAAAAATAAATCTTAAAAAAAAGAGAAAAAACAATCTCTAGCTTTGAAAAAGTATGTTCACGTGCTTGAATCAATAATGAACTCACTGTGCAATTTTATACTGTGGTTTAAGCAAACTAGTTGGCTTTCATGCCATCATGCTGTGTTGAAAGGCTGAAGAACAGGCGAGTGGTTTGCTGTAAGGAGTGGAGAATGGGAAGAAGCACACGGGGATTGACAACAAGGTGATGGTCACTGGGAGCATATAGGGAGTCTGGTTGTTTTTAAAAGGTCAATTTCAATTTAAATTGCTGGAAATCTTCACAGTGGTCACAATTCCACCCGAGCTGAGGTTGCAAGGCAAGTTAACACAGCTGTCCCAGGGTAACATGATCCTGTAATGCTCTATGTTAGTTCTGACTAAATTTCTTTTGACTTAAAAAAAAAATGTGGAATTCACTTGTTCATGGATATCTCTGTTTGCGCATTCATGTTGCTGCTGTGTGTAGCTCAGCCATTCTCATTACTACAATCTTTGAGAAATGCCATAATGTATCCTCTCTATTACTGATGAACCTTCTGAGACATTGTAAACTTTCCAGGATACTTTTAAACAAATTCCATAAAACTTGGGTTTAAGTGTTGGTGTAAATCTAACAGGTTAGGATTTAAAAGACTCCCAAATGAACTGTAAGTAACCAATCTGTCATTACATGTGCTTTGCAATCACACTCGAAGAAGGAGCATAATAATGGGGCCACTCAACCACATCACAGCTGCTCTTCAGGAATTTTCTAGGAGGAGGTATCGATGTGGAAGATAATAATCTGTCAGCTGATGGCATTACAGATCTTCCAGAAAGATATGTGGTCATTGAACTGTCCTGGAGCGAGTAGTATCAAAGGAAGAAAGCTGGCATTAGATCACCGACAAAGGAGGCAAACTCTATAATGAGGCTGGGATTCTTGCTGAGTTCATTACCGCCCCTACTGACATACCTCTCACTCAACCAAAGACTCAGAATGTACTTACAAAGGCAAGGAAATGAGGGAAAAGCAACATATTGCTAGCAGAGATTCAAATAATGTCTACCCAATCAGCTTTTATTGGACCAAAGACTATCTCTTTTCTAAACGCATATAAGTGTAAAAATTGCAGAAACAGCTAAAATTCAGCAAACCTTGTCACTGGCTGGGTTCTGATGCATATATATTTTAAATTTTTTATAAATTACTGAAAATGCTGGCTGGGGAAGGCAAGTCCAGGGAGACAGGTCCTTCTAGGAAATC